TGGAATAGTTAGCATGACAGGCTAACTCCTCTGGATTGAACATGATCTAAAATACAGGGATGGAATGAGTCAGCACTTTGCATGAATTTTCAAATAATGAAGTGTTTTTAAAGATATTTTTTCTTAAATCAGTCACATCTAGAAATAATTCCAGACCACGTACTCATGCTGCAATGTTTAGCTAATAAAGTAATACTTGATTCTGATTGGTCAGTCATGTGATTTCAGGGTATGTTATTCCCATATAATAATGACTAATAAGCTCATCAGGATACTTTGAATCATCTTGATCCTCAGTGAATATGTTCATTTTAGGGCTGCACAATATTGAAAAAAAAATCTGGCATTGTGATATTTTGTTTCTTTGCAATTATATATGAATATAATTATCACCAGAAGATTTTATTGCTCCATTTGAAAAGATGTCATTAATTTAGATAAACTAGAGTGACCTGAATACTTTTTATTTGCAGTACAGCTGCATAAATAATAATAAATTATGAATAAATACCTATAAAAACAAATACTTTAGTGCTTCATGATTTTCTGTGGAGTTTAAAATTGTTCAAGTACAGATATTGAACGATATAAACAAATTTAAAATAACCTAGTCATCATTGTATAATTAATTTAAAAAAATAAATAAATAAATAAATAAATAAATAAATAAATAAATAAATATATATATATATATATATATATATATATATAATTCAATAATTTCTTTATCTTTAATGTTTAATAAATAATCTGATCCAGTAATGTGACTATAGCAAATGCACACATTGCAACATTGATGCTCAAACAACACATTGTTCAGCCCTAGTTTATATATATTGAAAATTATGAAAAACAATGTTTGGTGTTTAATGTTTACATTTTGTGGCAAGTAGTCATGTAATAAGTAGGGGATAAAGTACATCCAGATGGTTGTTTTTGCTGAATTAAAGCCCTTCATGCTTATACAACAGTCTTCTGTTTTGCGCCAGGCTGCTGATTAGTTTGTCAGGCTTTATTCTGTGATGACAACCACCTGCATGTACTTTATCTCTTTTTTAGCCTCTTATTAGCATTGCTTAATTTGTAAATTAGTAATTTCCAAAGGAAATATAGCAAATAATATCTGCCAACCACACACTTTCAGTTTTCCTGTGACATGATGACACTAAACTGTAACAGCGTATATAATAATGGGTTTACACCAAACATGCAATTAAGCAGCCTATTCTTATAAGTAAGTTACATACACAGTAAATTCAAAAGTGAATAACTTTGAATGTACGTGAAGAGAAAAACATTCCCTGCGTAAATTAGAGCAAGTGATGTGGTACTGTGCATTTGTTGGGAACCCATTGTAAGAGCATCACTAAGTTTCTGAATGGTCTCAAAACCTAAATGTAACCTCTAAATGTGTGTATAAACCCACAGCCTTGCTTGCTATTTTTCACTCATTCACACACACACATGCAGGAAGTCACCAGGCACCACTTAATGTCTGATAATTAAAAGAAATACTGGAATGCAAAGCACAAAAAATGTTATATCCGGCTTAAATTAAGTTTTTCTCATTAGATTTTGAATATTTTCATTGATCAAACTATTTGTATTCTGCAAATATATACACATTTTGATTTTCAAAATACACTCCAAACACATTTGGGAAAGAGGCTACTTTCTTTTTAATTGCAATGTTTAATTGTTTGTCAAATGAGAATACTAATTGCTAAAGTTTTACAAGTACAATTTTTGGCGATACTGACATTCATCTGCAGGAGTTCATGGTCACCATTGTCTGATTTTCCATAGTAGACATATTTGTATGTTAGGCATGCCAGGCCTGACACATTCGTTCTGTATCTATGAACCCATGCTTTTGTAGCACATTTAAAATGAGACTTGATCTAATAACTATAAACTACCCATGAAAGTTTTTATCACGATGGCATTAAATGTCTATCCCAATACATGCCTCCATACCAGGGTACCAGTGCAAATATGCTAGTCACCAGTTCCTTTTTCTCTACTAAATGCCATGTTATAACAGATGTTTGCTTTTGCATCTGTCAATCATGCAAGCCTGGATGGTCCCTTTGGTCTTTGAGTCTGAGAACCTGACGTCCATTTTTCTCATAAAAAGTTGAAATGTAGATCCTCTGAGCCCAGCACACATTCCCACAGAAATTTTTTTTTTGTTTGTTTGTTTTTTTTGTTTTTTTTTTGACTATCTGAGATGAGCTCTGGTCTGGAGAACCAGCAGCATCTTTGGACTCAACTGATGTACTACATAACTTTCTTTTGGAGTAACAGAGACTCCCACTCCAGCAAACGCCGGTTTTCTTTTTCTTTTCTTTTTTCTGAAATACATTGCTTGTCATTTATGGCAGTATTTAACACCATATAATGTTGTTTTTAATGCAGTGCCATCTTAGGGCGCAAAGGTCATGGACGTTCAGCTGAGGTTTCCAGCCTTGCCCTATACAGACTGAGATATCTCTAGTTGTGAATTTGAGTTCTCATGACTTTAGATCCATCTTCCCTTGCAAATTCAGATATTTAGGCTCCTTTTATACTTGACCATGAAATCCTCACTTTTTACAAATTTGCCTGCTTATTGCAGACCATTTTGCACCTGTTTGATACCTTTGTCTCAACTTTTTTTTATTATTATTATTTTGGAGTGTTTAGCCAGCAAAATAAATGTTTGATATTTATGTAATATATTTAACTGTTAGTCAAAACACTGGTTGTTCCTTGTACTTTTGACTATTCTATTTTAAATTAAAGCACACATCTTGATTTTATAGTATTTTACAAAATGTCCCATCTTTTTCAATACATAAAAGTGCTGTAGAATGAAAATCTGCATATACCTATGTATATACTCATATCGGAATTATGAGAGTACATGCAAATTAATACGCAGTGAGCTGCAAACACTATTTTTTTTCTTTATTCTCATGTAAATCCCTTGAGTCTAAAGTCTTAGTGAAAAACAGGTCATGCAGAACAAAACTGACTGTGACGTTCACACTTCATCATTAATATACACATCACAGGCAGTATTTGATTGACCTGAGCATGTCCTAGTCAGAATACATGATATTTTTCCTTATTTTCAAATTTATCTAAGCATATAAGCATTTATCTAAGCAGGCTATTAGCAAATAAAGAGGCATAATGTCTTTTTAAATCTAGCTTTTGTTAGTTTAATGTGTATTGTGACAATTAGCTGGCATAAAGACTCAATACATTCAAATATTTTTGACAACAGAAGTATTATTATTTAGCTTGTGTGTATTTCAGAGTATATCATGCCATCTGTGAGCATCACACACTGACATGAGAGGCTTGACCGTCAGAGCTTAGTACATTAATATTCATGACTTTTCCAAATATGGTCAAAACCAACCTTGTAATATCAAGGACAATTCCTGTGGTTGGAAATGGACCTGTAAAATAGTTTTTTTGAAAATGTTTACAGTTACCTGAGCCATATATCCTTTATTTAGATGTCAAATAATCATTTATTTAATTTACATTATTCTTTATTTACTGATTTATTCTTAATTAATTAATTTACACTATTCCTAATTAACATTAGTATTTTTTATTTACTTATTATATCTGTATGCATTCAATGGCATTTTTAAAAGAATAAAGTAAAATACAATTAAGTAAAAATAAAAATTAATAGAATAAAGTAAAAAATATTCTACAAAATGCAATATTTTGGGTAATCCTGTAATTGTGCATTCAATCAAATGTAAACTGCCGCACTTAACCCGATAAGTTTGGTGCTGTGACCAAACTTTTTCATATGACAAGATACGCACTCAAGTAAATCACTGGGGAAAAGAAAAAAAAAAAAAAAAGAAAGAAAGAAATTCAGTTGTGTGCTCTTAACTCTTGCTACTCACTCATTTCAGGCGTTCACAATAAATTGAGTAGCAGGTCCAGTTGATCTTATTGGTTTCAATTAAAATCAAAATGTCATACAACAGAAAAGATATCAGATATTAATAAGGATATTAGATATTAGCTTGTAATATATCTTATAAATATCCTAAAAAGAACATTTTATATATAAGAATATATCACAATGAAATAATAGTAATATACAGAACATAAAACAAGTGTACACACAAAAAATAAATAAACAATAATTATTCCAGTAAATAATGACAAAAAAATATAATCACAGAATACAACAGATCAAAATCTTCATATAATTCTGAAGGTGACATTTCCTTTAAATAATACATTCAGGATGTGTCTCTTCAAAAGCTTGTTAGTCTATATCAAGGCCGGAGAATTGGCATGTACAGAGGGGATGTGTCTCCACCAATATTTACCAATTACTAACATATCCCCACCAATAACTTAATCGCCTTCAAAATAAAATAATGCTTTGTCAACCCTAGACGTGCAAATAGTTACTTTAGTTACATTGATTTTGATATTAGAACTTGAAAGGTGCCAAACCAGGACATTTTCTATTTCTCCTTCACTGTGCAAAATGTGGACATAAGTAGCTACTTTTAACTTAAAGTAATTTAAAGTCAGGTTCGCTACAACTCCACCATAATAATATTAACCAAGGTTGTGCAAATAATTAAAATTTAATTTTAATTCTGGCCTCCATGTTTATGAAAATTAATATAGGCATAAAACGGTTTTAAAATTGCATCACATCTCTCTAAATTTCTCTACATTCATACGTGCTCAAAGCCTGATTGTAGTAAAAGTGCGAGGGATAATTTGTGCTGTTCTATGCGTGACCTCTAGGGATGTGCTGTATGTCCCCACCAATGTCAGGAGCAAATCTATGCACTTGTTCTATATCACCACCTCAAGAGGACATTTTGACTTTGTCAATGCATATACATTTTAACTGTTTCATTTTGTGATTATATGCATAAAAACATAGCATCAATCTTGTAGTTTTGCATTGAAAGAATGGTATCCTTTTCTAATTGCTAATGTGTCTCTCTTCCATACAGATGATTAACCGAGAAGCAGAAGTGAAGAGTCGTGTTCGTGCAGTGGCCATGACTGACTCTGTCCATAACGTCTGGCACCAGGAGGCCAGCAAGTCCATTCAGGACTGGCTCAGAGAGGTATGATCTTTCATCAGGCGAAAACGCCAAAAACCTTGATATTCCCAATCACAGCACCAATAGCGGCCGCACAGCTCCGCTCAAACAGCCTGGCATTTCATTCAGCGAGCAGATACACTCCCGAAGCAGGAGTCATGGAAAGCCAATAGTTTGTTTTTCATCCACACTCTTGTTTGTCTGTTTGGGCAGATGTCAATAAGAAATCAAAGCCAAACGCCGCCTCACGCAGGCAGATGCTCTGTTAGTATGTCAGTTTTATTTAGTTGCTGCCCTTTCAGCGGTGACCTCGAGTCCAGAGACAACACCTGGGAACACTCAATATGCACATAAATATGAGAGAGCGGATCCCAAGCCAGGGCTACAGGGGAGCCAGCCATGCAAATGCCAAGCGCAAACACACGCCCTCGCCTCTCAGCCCGCTTTTTCCATGAGCGACGGACCACCCAGCCCACCAGAAAAAAATGTCTTTCATTCCTTTGTCTTTGCTGATCTGCTTTGGTCTGTCAGATGTTTGCTGGCCGTTTGTTTGCATTGGTGATTCTTTTTTTGTTGTTTTGATCTGTTGTTGTTGGTCTTAGGGTGCATTTATTTGTCTTTCTTTCTTTCTTTCTTTCTTTTTTTCTTTCTTTCTTAATGATGATGCTGATGATGTCATTTTTCTTGACAATGTCATTATGGTATAATATAAAGGGGTTTTATGTGTGAATTTTGCCTCGAATAACAAGTCCATCAAAAATAGGAACACATTGTCGTTCATTTGTTCATCCTTGTTCATTTTACTGGTGTGACTTACACTTGAGGCATAAGGAAATGTAGACAGACCATTCACAGAATAATAAATGTGAGAACATGTATAATGGTTGATATGACAGCCGCAGTAATGGAAGTCCTGCTGTTAACTTTACAGTGATTCAAGATATAAAGATGGTTTATTGTAAAGGCACTTCCAGTCAAGTTTTTGATCCCCAATCTGGTCCGATCGCAGCTACTGTATTTAATATTAATAGCTTGCCAATACCAAGTCCAAATCTAATAGTTGTATTTTCCTAGTGTTAAGTACACTTTTGGGAACATTGGATTATTAAAATGAGTCAAATTTATATGGACAGCTGCATGCAGCTCTGAAATGCTTTAAGAAACACAATCCCAATTGTCTTTTTATATTTACATTTGTTCTATTGTTGTGTTTTTTAGGTTTTAAAAATTATTGCAGTGCTTCCCACGCATAGACTTTACTTGGGTGGGCTGCCCAGGTTTATTAACGGCCGTCCAAGTATATTTAGTGAATTTTGTGTTACTATTATTGTCATCCTTTTACACCTTTTTTTGTATCTGCCCAGTATAACCAACCATTCGCAATCAATTAAGTAGTGACAAATCTTCTCTCGTTTACCTTTTTTCTTTCTGTGATCGTGAACTGTAAGACACTTCCACAGGTAATCTTATGTGCTCTGCAGAGACCCACAGAGACATGCCTTCTTGGAACTTAAATGATTTTCCCAGCCAGGGTTACTAAATCTCCTGAAATGTCCAGGATTCGGCTTTTGCTTTTGCTTTCTAAAGCTGTCGTTGTGAGTTTTTCCATTACCTTCTTATTTAAGCATATTTTCGCTTAGCTTAGCAGTTGTGCACCCACATTTGAGAGAGTGAGGAAAACATAAAATAATTATTTCTTTAATCTTAATGACATTACATCATAGGTCTCAAACTCAATTCCTGGAGGGCCGCAGCTCTGCACAGTTTTGCTCCGGCCCTAATCAGACACACCTGATCCAACTAATCAAGGTGTTCTAGACTACTCGTGAACACCTTGATTAGTTGGATCAGCTGTGTTAGAATAGGATTAGAGAAAAACTGTGGAGTGCTGCGGCCCTCCAGGAATTGAGCTGGAGACCTATGCTTTACATAAACTTGAACAGGAGGAAATGACTGGTCTAAATTGGCTGCAAATATACACTATATACACCATGACTAATGGTTAATCAACGCATTGGCCTTAAATAATCTACACATGTTAATATTTTAATTATTATAATCTTTAAGATATTATTGGTTTTTATTCTTTTTACTATCATTTCACAATTCTGTATATTTTATTAATTTCATGATGTCAATATATTACATATTTTATAGATATCTAAAATGCTTTGGTAAGTTTGCTAAACCTAAAAAAGAAGCAGATTTGACCTGTCAGTGGGTTCTCATGGCTCCTAAATAGCACAAAAGTAAGAGAAATAGTGGATTTATTTATTTATTTATTTTTTACTTTAACCAATTAAAAAGAGCCATGTATAATAGTGTCATAATTAATGAAATCATTGTTAAAAGTTAAATTATGTCGCATATAGTTAACTATTTATGTCATGTAAGCAAATGGTGTGTTTCAATCCGGCTACCATTGCAAGTATAATAAGATGGTCCTCAATGTATCTGCATTGTTGACGTTTAGGCAGTGATTTACTTTACCACATTCACATACAATGCTTTGATCAGACTGATGGGCTTGAGTTTATAGTCAGTCAACTGCGCCTACTACTCAGTAGGTACTGCATTTGAATTTAAACATACTACTCGACCATTAGAATAGTACGTTCTATACAGTTTGAATGTCAGTGGTATGAATGAAACTCGAACGTACTACATCTGCCATTTTGTCATCATGGTATGACCTAACTGCCTCGCTTGTGTCACTTTACTTCCATTCACGAATAGAATACTCCTGTGGTGCTTCATGGGATAGCGTAGCATCCATCCGATGCACACTTCAGAATCTCACTGGAAGTAGTAGGTCAACAGGGTACTTCTCACATATTGTTTTTAAAATGTTTCGAGTCTTTTGAATTTGAACATAGTGCTCAGTTAACATACTCGTTTTTAAGTTTATTTATTTGTAAAGCACTAGGTGTTCACCAAGTAAAATCTAAATGAGAACAAAAATAGTAAAGCAATATGAAATATAATTTGATGGAATAAAAGTAATAAGATAAAATAACAGGGCTCGCACAGTGTTAAATGCCAGACTATAAAGACTTTTTAAGCTAGACTTAAACACAGAAAGTGTTTGGGTCTTTTTAACATGCAGAGACAGACTGTTCCAAAGTCTAGGGCAGGCGTGTCCAAACTCGGCCCTGGAAGGCAGGTGTCCTGCAGATTTTAGTTCCAACTCCAATTAAACACACCTGAACCAGCTAATCAAGCTCTCTCAAGGTATATTAGAAACTTCCAGGGAGGTTGTTAAAGGAAGTTGGAGCTAAACTATGCAGGACACCGGCTCTCCAGGACAGAGTTTGGACACCCTGGTCTAGGGCCTGTCGCTGTAAATGTATATAAAATCATATAGAATATAATCATAATAATAAGTAATGTATGCTGTTTAAGTGATGTACAGTATTGCGATTAACAGAAAAGTAAGCAATTTAAGTGTTTTGACATCTTGCAGTCAGTTTTTGTCTTTCTGCATTGATGCACAGCGAAGTAAATTATGTACAGCGAGTAAATTATGACAGTACAAAATTGATGAACTACCCTTTTAAAATGACTTGCTTACACAGACTGTTAATGTCATACCAAAGCATTTTATACCTTGCACACACTTCACACAAGTGCCGCCATACATTGAGGACACAAATATTCATTTGTCAGAGGCCCTGATTAACACAGATGAGTTTGAACATTTCATTTAATTGATTTCCAGATCTAATTCACCTTAATAATTGAAGCCAGAGGCTGGAGTCTGACTTCACGAATGTTAAAGTCACTTTCAGTCTTTTTGTGTCACCCGTTAACCCCCTCTAATCCTTTTACTCCAGCAGGAATTGGGACCAGAGTCGTGTAAAGGCTTTCGGCTTTCCTACTTGCCTGTGTTTTCACCATAGCCCTGCCTTTAATCAGGGTCATGGCTCTATCCCCTTCCATAGTAGCGTCCATAGCAATCGCGATTTTGACATTATTCAGGCTTGAGATCAGTGGCTCTTTAGGGGTTTGTCGGAGGTGATTCTCTGTTCCTCGCGCAACCGTGAGCTCTTTTCGTGCAGGCGGTGGTAATTCCCCTTTTTCTCCTGAGGGAGGTGGAGATGGAGGGATGAGAGCTGAGAATTGGAGGGATTTTCGGGACGAGAGCGCAGTAGGACAGGTGATGTGGCGATAATGGGTCAGACTGAGGGCATGAGAGAGAGAGAGGGAGAGAATGAAAGAAAGAGAGGGGGAAGGGACGACATTGGAAAGACAGACATAAACAGAGCAACCTGAAGGAGGCTGAGATCCCCTTGGGATGCAGTGGTATATACTGAAGGGGAAGAAACGGTGAGAGGAAATCTCCTAGGACATGGAGAGAGAGGAGAGATATAGAGTGAAGAAACATCTATTGTCCACAAGAGTACCTGCAACTTGCAGAAAAACTGTAGTGATGGAAAGAGAAATGAGGGGAAAAAAGGTTAACACAATACACTAGTGCATAAAATAGGACATTAGAGGTATACTTGCATGCTTCATATTGAATATTGCTCATCAACTCTGGGGGAAAAAATAAACAAATAAATAAACATGTTTTTTTTTTTTTTTTTTTTTTTAAGATTGTGAGATTTTAAGAAGACCAGGGATGCCATTTATAAACCTTGTCAGAGATTAATTTGTGGTAAACTTTGTACAGTACAATAGTACTATATGTTTTAAAATAAAGAATTAAAATGTAAAATTTTAAGATCTATTTAAAAAATATATTTTTTTGTTTTTCTTGTATTACAAATTTGTATTCATAGAACATATATTTGTCATAAATATTTATTTGAGAACCTTTTATATCAACGATGTAGGATTTTTTTTTCTTAATGTGAGAATACATTTGCAACTAAGGCAATAACTAAAGACTCATTGCGGTCAGATATTTTTCAAATGTTTTCTTTTCATGGCAGATAGCTAGCAACAAAATTAAGTTCACTTTTTTTAATCCTAGAATATTTTGTGAATGTAGCCCTAGAAGTCTCCTCAAATTTTTTCTGGGA